TCTGATGTGTGTGTATAAATAAATACACTTGGTCTAGAGTTTCTCTGCCACAAGGTGACTTTAAATTTAAATTCCATGCTCTAAAAGTTGAGTATCTAATTATGCAGTTGTTGAAAGTCTGTAAATTAAAAATAGGACAGTAAATCTTTAAAAATAAATGACCTGGAAACAGTACAATTAATCTACTTTGCGCAACTTGGGCAAAAAATGCACTCATTAACTAGAATTTTTAATTTCCTTGTCTAAAAGCTAGAATAATTTCCTGACTCTGTTTTGACAAGGGAAGGATGCTTTGGCAGCAGTGAGATTCTGTTACAAGAAGAAACTTGTCTGATACAGCGAGCAGCATTGCCGGATCATATTTCACTTTTAATACCATTTTTTGTTAACTAGTTTTTAGGCTTGAAGATAGAGAGTTAATGTAACACTTTTGGCTAGTATTACAGCAACTATCTTCAAAGATAGTTTGACTTGGAAATCTGACTGACTTTTAGAAATTTTGTAGTCTAAGGGCTCCCAGATACTGTATAAATCCATTTGAAACAATCAAGAGAGTAGGAGTGAACGTCCTAGTAGTATTCTGTTGGCTATTCAGGAAAATTTGGCATTACCCCACTTAGCTCTCATAGTATGAAATACTGCTTCCTTTTTTTAATGCAGAAATAGAAGCATAATCGGGACATTACACAAATTTACAGGTTGCCTGGGATATAAGTGGAGGTTTCAATGTCCTTTTGATTTCACATTGAGTACAGATGGTTTGGCAGTAAAAATGATAGCTAGTATCTAAAAACTATCTCGTTTTAGACTGACTTAATCCAAGAAGTTGGTCTTTAGTACAGATTCGTAGCAGTTTCTTGTTAGCAATAGTGTTAAGTATTTATTACAGTAATACTACTGTATAAAAACTTGTTGCTTGAAATTATGCTCATACTAGCCAGACCCTATACTTTCAACTAAACTTTACAGCAGTTACTCCTTTATGAATGCCGAAATGAGGATGGGTTCCAGTTTCATCCAGAATATTAAACCAGTTGTATTTAGTCGTCAAAATCAGACCTACTTAGAACCTGTCTAGGCAGTTAAGAAGTATCTTTTACAAGAATATGTTGAATATCTGTATAATACTAAACAAGACCTGTCCTATTTTATTATGTCCTACTGTGTGATGTGATAATCAAATATATGTCTTTCCTGATCATCATTACAGAATGTTATTGCTGTTTGCTCTCTCTCTCTCTTTTTTTTAAATTTTCCTTAAATATTCCCTCCAGAAGAACAAGAACCTTTTTAAAAAATCAGATCCACACACTAACAATTTTACATTCCATCCAAACATTTTTGGCTGTATAATCATGGTAGAGTTCTTCATATGAATAGAAATTAAGAACAAAATGGTAGAACATCTTAAGCAAATGTTTTTGAATGTTCCTACAGAAATTAAATTAACTTTCATAATTAACTTGTTCTCCAAATAAGACTTCACTCTGGCTTTTAAGTAATATGTAAACATTTTCTCATGTATCTAGTTTTGCATTGTGAAGACAGGACATAGATGGTTGCCTGTTTTCAGGTTAATAAAATGTTACAACGGTAATAGCAAATTAGCTACAATTTCACATCTGTATTATTTAACATTTAGAAACCAAAAGTTCATTATTTCTATTACTGCTATTTTGCTGTAGGATGTCAGCTGTAATGAAATCACAGCTTTGCCACAGCAGATAGGCCAGCTGAAATCTTTAAAAGAACTGAATGTCAGAAGAAATTACCTCGAAGTTTTACCCCAAGGTAAAAACAAACAAACAAACAAATCCTAATACCTTTACGGTAGCTCTCTTGTTAGCATGTTGAAAGTATTTTTTAATCATGTAAGTAAATATTATTAAAAAGTAGTAATTACTTTGTGTTCAAATTTATTCCGTTTGAGTTTGCAGAATATAGCATTCAGTGGTACTCACTAAATAACAGTGCGTGAAGTTTTTTTAATGCATTATTTTTATGATCCTAGGCATCTTTTAAATTGCACAAGTACTTGTCTGTGAATGTAGTATGGGAACTGTCAGCTGAATTTCAGGGGAAAAAAAATGTCATTAAAATTTATTGTCACTTGTATAACAATAACACTGTTTTCATTTCCCAGTATAGAATGGAGTAAATGTTGATCATATTCCTGCCTGAGGTTGTATTTTTCCTGAATGCAGAAGAAGGTTTATTCAAAAATATTTTATTATTTTATGGCAAAAATAAATATGGATATAATACCTTCTCTCTTTTTTATTACTTTTAGAACTAGTACAGCTTCCTTTGGTAAAGTTCGACTTTTCCTGCAATAAGGTGCTTGTGATTCCAATTTGTTTTAGAAAGATGGTGCAGTTACAAGTATTACTGCTTGAGAACAATCCTTTGCAGTCTCCACCAGCCCAAGTAAGTAATGTCTGTCATTTAAATTGTGCCTTAATATTGGGTGGATGATAACAAATTGTAGTTTATAAAATGTTACCTTCAGCAATTGCAAGCTTCTGAATGTCAGTCATCACAGACATTAGTTGTTGATGTATAAGAAAGACTCAAAAAGTATGCTATGTTCTGTGTATGAGTCTGCACAATTTGAACCAGCATGAGTCTAGATTTCCATTCAGTTAGCTACTTGTTTACTTTTGCCATTCCTATCTGTATATGAAACTTAATGTTGGAATGCGTATATAATTTTGAAAAAGAGAATTGAGAAACTTCCTGGATAATTTTTCTGTCTGTTAATAAGAACCCAGTTCTAGAAGGTTCTACAGTGATTTACTATTAACTTAAAAAATATGCAGATTGTCTAGAACGTAATCCACATGAAATTTATTTTACTTCATAGTGTAAGTTTATAGATTGTGATACACAAAGAAAGCAAACTCCTGTTATGAACTGTAGAAATTATGATAATAAATGAATGGAACCTGTACTTGCTGCTTAAGGACAGCTTCGTTGTTGGTGACTTACTGGACAGTAGATTAAAACTACATCTCTGAAAGCTACAATTGTTCTAGATCAACAACTGTTGAAATACTTGAGAATTTTTATTACATTGGAGAAACGCTTTTCATAACCAATGGTGATGTCGCTACTAAACTCAAAAAATACAGAGCAAGTTTCAGCAAGCACTTGAGCTAGAAGTGTGCAGTTAAAAAAATTCTAAAATGCAGGTGAAATGCATCATAAAGATGCTTGGACACTAGTAAAAACAATGTGGCTAAGAGTATAAAGGACACACTGATTAATTAAATGTCATTATTGACTAATATTGGAAAATAACTACTCAATTTGCAGTTAATAATAGGCCATATGATATATATTTTATGGTAATTCTTTTTGACTGAAAAGCTTATTTGGATTTTTTTAAAGTAGAATACCTTCTTTTCTTGTTTTCTGTCTTACTTTCTGAGGGTATTTATACTAGTACACACAGATAATTGATTGGGTAATGGAAGTAGTTCTTAGTAATTTAAAAAAAATGAATAAAATCCATTTTCCTTTATGTGATATCTGTTGTGACTATATGAGTTGGTTTTCAGGGAGTTTTATGCTAAGTGACATTTGGAATAAATGGTGTCTTTCATTCTAGTTATAAACCTAAGTTTTTTTTCTTGTCTAACAGATTTGTACAAAGGGTAAGGTGCACATATTCAAATATCTGACTGTACAGGCCTGTCAGATTAAAACAGCAGACTCACTGTATCTTAATGCCATAGAACAACAGCATTTGCCCCAACCTGTGGAAGAAAGGTGTGTATTAAAATCTCACTTAGTTTTTTCATGTAACACGAACAAAGTAAAATATATTTAATTTTTATAACTTTAGCTTCCAGAGTTTCCTTTGTTTAGATGCTATTTAGAGTGTACTTTTTTGAACAGACATTTGTTTTGCTTTTATGTATTTTATTCTAGTGAAATCCCTATAAGAGTTTAGAACAAAATACTTTTAACAATCAGTTCTGATTAAAGTTAGCAGCACATTAGGTAAGAGCCTAGAAGTGAACCTTAGTTTAAATCTAGCCTCTTACTAGTAGACTACTGGAATATATTGAAAATAATTGAGATGGTAGTATCATTAAGTGTTGGAACTTTCTTGCAAATCTATTAACACATTAAATAAGTTTTAATTTCCTGTGTTGTTTTGTGGTTTATATGTTGTTATACACTTGTTATGTAGTTGTTTTAAGCTTTTTTTATTCATCCAGAGGCTTATCCATCCAGCAGAGAGAAGTGCATGAATGTTGAGACCCTTTAAAGTGAAATGTGCTAATTTGTTAGCAAAATGAAAGACTAGATCTTTAATGTCTCACGTCAGACATCTAGGAAATGTCATCTTTTATGGTGGTTTAAGGACAGGAACTAGATACAAAGCAGCTCCTTTTTATGAGAATCTCCATAGCTAATTGGAAACCAGTTTTTAGCCAGCTCTTTCTATGCTAACATAGGAAGTATAATATAACCAGTCAGAGAAAGTATGATAATGCCTTATTTGTGAAGTACTCAATAAAAACAAAGTGTTGAGGTAAATAAAAATAAAGACGTTGCTGCTAACACCATGGGGAAAAAAAAACAAACCCTGTTCTAGAATCTCCCTGTCAGCCATCTAGATAAGGTTTCAAGCAAATTGCTTTCCTCCGTGTATGTTTGGTTACACCTTTGTGGATTTCTATCAGATAAATGGCAAAGGTGGGAAGAATCCAGGATGAAGAGTTGGAAAACACCTACTGGTTTTCTGCTTTGTTCTTTTAGTATACAAGAAAATTGATGGGAATGTCATGTCCTGTATGACATTTTGGTCATATAGAATCATACAGGTTAGGGTAAGGGGATAGTACAGAGTAGGTCCCAGTTGTTAACCAACAGCCTAATGGCCTATCACATAATCATTACCAAATTTTTATTTTAGAGAATAACTTCACACCTCTAAAGAAAAACGTGGTTAGGATTTCCATATGCAGTTTCTACACAAAATCCTTAGTGTTTACTGATAAGAGAAAATTTAAGATTAGGATTAATCAGATATCTTATTCATGTGAAGACTGATAAAGTTCTCTTTTAAATTGCTGTGTCAATCTGAATGCAGGATTACAGCTTTCAGGATTGCAAATGAGAGGATAAGTGTATTTAAAAAAAAAAGTTAGGTGATGAGTGTATTGCATCTAGCAGTGTACTTCAGAATGAGTAGAGGTCATACTAGGTAATGAAACCAGAAGAGAGAGCAGATGCTGTTACTATAGTAGTTTTCTTAAAAACCTAAATTTCAAAGTCTATTTTAAGGCACCGAAAGAAGGTTTCTGTGCTAATAGCTACTTCAAGCCGCAGGGAAATATCAGTTCATTTTTAATTGCATCAATGATTACAATTAAATCAGTTGACTCCAGTTTGAGTTCAACTAGTTTAGTTGCTTTTCCCATGGCTAAATGACTTCAGTTGGACTCCTGTGCCACTTAGCTAGTAATTAAGTGTTTTTACCTAGTGTATAGACAAAAGCAAGCTTTATAGCAGATTATTTCTGTTGTTTTCAGTAATCATTAGGCTAACCAGCCATTACATCTGATCTATTTTACTATCACCAGACTGCAAATGTGTAGTTTTTAACCATACTAGACTATTTCACCCTCTACCATTAAGACTGGTTGGAATTTTGCTTTGGTTTAAGTGAAACCGGGACAGAATTCTAATGCTAAATGCTACAATAGCTTTTTATGTTTGTTTTTGTGTTTTGGTTTTTTTTAATTACTCTTCACATCTAGCATTGATGACATCTACCCAAGTAAAAAGGACTCAGATTCAGGTGTCGGTAGTGATAATGGCGATAAACGTTTGTCAGCAACAGAGGTAAGTTGCCTGAATTTTGTGTCCAGCTGCCCTTCCCTCCACACCCATATTTTGACTATACTTTAAGTTGAGTAACAATGTGAATATGTTTTTAGCCATCAGAACTGTGCAACCACATCCTTGGCATGAATTTCTTGCTAAGAAATGGCTGAAACACAGATAAAAGGAGACTGGGATTTTGGGGTGGGTTTTTTTTTGTTTGGTTTGGTATGGTTTTGTCCGTACACTTTCTGGAGAGGGCAGTGAGATACTTGCTTACAAATGGTCAACAACCTATCAATAGCGAAAATTCACTACATTTTTCAGACAGTTTACATAATCTAGAGAATGAGGATCAAGCTAGAATCCACATCTGCTCTTTCTAATGAAGTAAATGTCCTAACAGGTTACAAGCCTGGTGGCTTCTCATTTCTTTTCCCTCTGACTCATGACTCACTCCTGTTGGAAATTAACAGGAGTTCAGTGTGCCCAGTCCCAGTGTGTTCTGTGGTGTCATGCTTATGGCAGTTTGCTGTAGTGTAGGAACTTCAGAAACTCAGATCTTAACGTGTTTACGTGCTCTGGCAGTTAGGCAGTGCTGGAAATAAGCCTTCAGAATTTTTTCTGAACTATGTTGTCTGAGTGAACAAAGAGAAAGGATGGCTTTCTGAGACTAGCATTGTCCTAAGCAGTTAGAACTGACTTTCCTAGACCTTTTTTCTGAGGCACTGTTCAGCTGAACAGGGCACTAAATCTAGTTGGAGTTGAACTGAGTAAGTAATGATAAATAAGTAAATAATTTGCAATAGAATTCAGTGATGATCTTTCTGAAATGTACAAATAATGGGATTTGTGGTCTGACCTAGTGGGAAATATTCAGGTCACAATAAAAGAATAGGCTTCTTGCTACTTAGAATAATTTTACACTGATTCTTTAGTGTTTCTCTCCTCCTTTGAGGAAAAGAGATTCTGTTGCTTTTGAAACAAATGCATAAAGAATCAAGCTTTGGTACTGAATTTGTAGTTACTAAAAAGCAAATTGAAAATTAATCCACTAATTAATCCACTTACACACTGATTGGTGTTTTAAATACAAAAGCACTTAAAAAAAGAAACCCACAGGGATTTCCAAGTATTTGGACAAATTTCTTGCTACAAATTTCTTGCTAGGTGGAATTGAAGCAGAATTATTGTGACTTCTAGCCACACTTCTAATGGTTTCCCTCTAGTTGTAAGAGCATGTAGCCATTCAGAGACACTTACAAACTGTTTTGCCATTCTTACACTTCCTGAAGCTGAGTTAGCTTGTTAATGAAACTGTTATTCCAGAATTCCCTATTTAGCTATAAATAATACCTTTAGAAAATAGATCATCTTTCCTGTAATCAAAATGTAGCAATTGGAATGCTGAAAAAAGTTGTTTTAAGGACAACCACCAGTGAACCAATACATTTTTATTAGCACAAAGGCTTTTCATATGAGTGCTATTTAACCATTCCATCCCTGCCTGACTATTGCTCTGCTATTAAGGAGAAAATAGATGCTGAGATCAGTAATCCCAAATGTATTTGGTAGTAAACTCACCACTTGCTTTTCCTTTTGAGCTGACCTTTAATACCTGTGTTACACATGAGAACTGTGCAAGAAATATTAGCATGCTCCAAATACAGATTCATGTACATTCTTAATTACAATCAGGAATCTACATACCAATTTTATATTATTGAAAGCTGCTTTGGATAGTTTCTACTTCATAGTATACTGGCAGGAAACACCTGGAAAATCAATTGCAGAATTCTGTAGACCCTGAAAGTGAGATATAGTCTGTTAAATGAATGATCTTCTGTTTCCAAATTTAGTGGCCTGTGGCTTTTTTTTTTTTAATACCAACACTCCAAAATATTTTCCTAAAAGCTGTGTATTCCTCTGCTGAGGATAAAATCTTGCCTGTTTTAGCATTCAGAACTTGTAGTAATGCATATAAGAACATTTTACTGTAACATTTTCAAATGATAGTTGTGAAATTAGCAAAACATGAATCTGTGAACTAGAATAACTAAATTTAGTGCTTAAATGTCACATGAGATATAACCTGAAAGAAAGAGAAGAAACTTCACTGTAACCGTGGTTGTCTGAATGAATTTATATTGTGCATGTCTGTCTGGGGGTTTTTTTGGTTTGTTTGGGTTTTTTTTTTAAGCTGTTGGATTGTCATTGTTTCAGGTGTAAAAGAACTAATGAATTTTGTGCTTAGAATACTTGGAGTGTGGTTTGTTTATTTTCTGTCTGAGATACTAATTTGTTTCATTTTAAAATAAAATTTATTTTAAAACTTAAAATTTATTTTAAAAATTGACAAATAGGAACAGTACTGCAATGTTAGTTCACTTCATTATAAAGCTGCATCGTTTTGATAAGATTTTATCAAGTCCCTGAATATCCTTTTGAATTTTTTTCTCTTTCAGCAGAAGAATACAGCTAGTGAACTCATACAGTTAATAACATACTTTTTTTTCATAAAGAAGCACATTTATGGTGGTCCACATTTACAGAATGCATTAAGTCCAGGGTATTCTTGGCAAATAGGAATAACCATGTGTATCTTGGATATAGTTTTTTAAGAGCAAAGCAGATTTGCTCCATTCCTTATCACAAACCTTAGCTTCAGGATTTAAAAAAAAATACTTTCTGTATGGAGTATCAACATCTGAAGGTGGCAAGAATGTCATAATTCTACTGTGTCCTGGTTTTGGCTGGGATAGAGTTCATTTTCTTCCT